GTATTTTAGTAACCACACTTTGCAATCCCAGCACTATATAGATTTAGTATTCTCCAGAGAAGCTGGATTATGATTTGGTGGAGGGCAGGTTGAAATCAGATTTTACACATAATTGGCCTTGGGCCTCGCTCAGTTTGGTACATCAAACACCCTGGAGTTTATCAGAATTGGGTGGTGCTGAGAATCATTTCCAATACTATGGGTATATGTGTGTAAATTTTAACTTGATTAATTTTGTTTCATTTCCTTTCTGCTCTTTTAAAAATTAGAGATTTCATCATGGCAGAATCTAATAGGCCCTTGTTCTCTTTTTTTAACTGCTTACAATCACCTCCACCAGGTTTAATCATTTGTAAATTCTTTATAGGTTTGTTTTGGTTCCATTCGCTTCATTAAAGTTTAATTAAAGGAATTATGGCCTCCTCCTCTTCACATTAGCTTTATTTCCATTAAAAAAACCTTTAACAGTTTGAAATATTTCCATGCATGAAATTGATTGCAATCGTCAAAGTATGTGATTTCTCAGATAAGCTGTGATTGGTCATTGGAACTTCCCCGATTCCTTTAAAAGAGCAGCTGGAGAGCACCTGGCACTCTCTAGTCCTTGGTCACAGTTTGGCTGAGAGATCTGCACCAAAGAGGACTGGAATTGCCCAGCTAAGAAGTCCCAAGTGGTGAGGTGTCTGTTTCTTTGCTCCTTCCTCACTTTTACTGTGTAAGTGCATGAACATTTCCAGAAATGTAAACAGTAAGTAAATGAGGGTGTAAGGGGTTCAGTGTTTTAGAATTTATTTTGGGATCTGGGTTGCAAAGTGGACTTGGGGGTTGGGGCCAAAGGAGGGGAGTTCATGGCCAATAAAAATTTCTAGGTAGAGGAGTTTCACTGTGTCCTCCCCAGTGTCATGAATTTTATTTGGTTTCATAGATCATTGTTCTGACTCAATTCAAGGCAGCTTCTTTAACCTTCTACACTGATCGACTACTGGATTCACCTGAAAAGGTTTGTCTTGGATGAAATCCTCCGCCCCCTGCTTTCTCTTTACATGAGAGTGGAGAGGGGAAAGTTCAAATCCCAAGGTCAATGCCCACTAAACACAATATTTTTCTTGGTCATAGGGGGTTCTGTGTGCCAAATTTGGTTCAGTAGCATCATTGATGGAATTCAGAATGCTCTTTGATTGTAGATGAACTATACATTCCAGTAACCACAACCTCCAAATGATAAAATAATCCCCCCACAAACCCAACCAGCAGGCCCGTAACCAGGATTTCAATTTTTTGGGGGGGGGGGTGAATTTTTTTCAGGGGGGGGTTGGGGGGCTGAGTTTCGGGGGGGGGGCTGAGTCTGAGTGAAAGAGGGTCTAGCCTAGCAAACCTTTTGTATCATTACCCCAATACCCCCATGCATATGGGATATAGTGAGTATGGTGATCAGATCATGATATGAATAAACATAAAAGTGAATTGTATATTTTAACATGTTGTAAACCGCAATGAGTCGCCGTATAGGCTGAGATATCAGCGGTATACAAGCATACCAAATAAATAAATAAATAAATAAATAAATAAATAAACAGTTTAAATAATGTACCAGTAAGGCCTTTTCGTGAACCACCATAAGAATTTCGGGGGGGGGGGTGAAGCCCCTCAAGCCCCCCCCCCAACACCACCAGTATTCAAATTTGGGCTCATCAGGTATTTGTGCCAAATTTGGTCCAATGAATGAAAATACATCCTGCATATCAGGTATTTACATTATGCTTCAGAACAATAGCCAAACGACAGTTATGAAGTAGCAACAAAAATAATGTTATTAGAAACAAACATAGCTAAACAGGTATTTGACAAAATAATGATATTGGGGGACTTCAATGGTGTAATAGACAAAAATTTAGACAAATCTACAAAACAAAAAGGCAAGACAAGAGACAATACAGGTACACTGCCAAAACACTTCATAAACATGATGAGAGACCTAAAGATGGAAGATGTATGGAGAATAAAAAATGGTAACAAACAGGATTACACCTTCTTCTTGGCCAGACATAAGAGCTGGTCGAGAATAGACATGATCTGGACTTCAACTCACATTAAAAATAAAGAAAATAAAAATAGCACCCAGGACAGACTCAGACCACTGCCCTATTGAAATAGAGATGAAGGAAGAAGAACGAAGTTGGAGATGGAGACTAGAAGACAACTTATTAAGGAAAAAGGAGGACATAGAAAAAAGTAAAGCAATTATAAAGGAATACTTCAAAAATAATGACATACAAGAGACAGATACATTTATAATATGGGAAGCGAGTAAAGCCGTCATACGAGGACACTACATCCAACAAAAGGCCAGATGGAACAAAGAGAAGACAAAGAAAATAAAAGAAATTATGGAGGAAATACAGAAAAAGGAAGAAGAATTGAAAAGAAATCCGAAAAACAAGGAAACAGCCCATAAATTGATATTACTACAAAAGAAGAGAGAGCATATAGAAATGGAAGAAAGAGCTAAAGAACTAAAATTCGTAAAAGCGGACCACTTCCAAAACGCGAATAAGCCGGGGAGGTGGCTGGCGAAGAGAATATTAGAAAAGAGAGAGTCAAGATATATAGTAAAAATCAGGGAAAAAGAAAAAATATACACATCGGAAGCAGAAATAAGAGATCAATTTGCAAACTACTATAAGAAATTATATCAAGACGACCAAATAAAAAAGGAGAATATCACCCAATATTTAGGAGACAAGAAAATTAGCAAAATATCGGAAGAGGAGAGAGAAGCCCTAAATAAGGAAATTTCGGAAGAGGAAATCAGAACTGCAATAAAAAAATTAAAGACAAATAAGGCCCCCGGCCCAGACGGGCTGAGCGCAATTTATTATAAAACAATGATGGAAGAAATTGTACCATTTCTTTAAAAAACGCTAAATGAGAAAAGAGAGAGGAAGGAAATGCCAGAAAGCTGGAAACAAGCAAATATTTTTATTATACCAAAAGAGAAAAAAAAATCCTGAACAACTCAAAAATTATAGACCAATTTCTTTACTTAATTTGGATTACAAAATATTTAGTAGCATATTGGCAGAGAGACTAAATTTTTTTTTAATAAATTGGATAAAAGAACAATCAGGATTTTTACCAAATCGTCACCAACGGGATAATGTGAGAACCATTATAAATTTGATTGACTATTATGACAAAAACATTCAGAAAGAAGTGATGTTCCTGGCGCTGGATGCTGAAAAGGCATTCGACCAGATTAATTGGAATTTTTTCAAATTATTATTGCAAGAGATGGACATTGGATATTACTTCTTAAACTCAATTGAAGCTATCTATAAAAATCAACAAGCGAAAATTATAGTAAATGGCCAGGAAACAAAACAAATTGAGATAAATAAAGGAACCAGACAGGGCTGTCCGCTCTCGCCTCTGATCTTCATTTTGACAATGGAAATCCTACTGAATGAAATAAGGGGAAACAAAGAATTGAAAGGAGCCACAATTAGAGGACAGACATACAAATGTAGGGCTTTTGCCGACGATGTCATTTGTATAGTTGAGGAGCCATCCACAAGATCACAAAAATGGTTTGAAGTAATCGAAAAATTTGGGAAGGTAGCGGGATTTAAATTAAATATGGACAAAACAGAAGCAATAACAAAGAACATTCCCAAGAAGAAGTTGGCCACAATTGAGAAAAAATGGAGCATCAAAATAGCATCAAAAATAAAATACCTGGGAATTACTATCTCGCCAAATAATGCACAACTACTTCAAAATAATTATGCGACAAAATGGAATGAAATCAAACGAGATCTGGAGAAATGGAAAAATTTAAAATTATCAATATTAGGCAGGATAGCATGTGTGAAAATGAATATACTACCAAAAATGTTATTTTTATTTCAAAATTTACCAATCATTAGGAACAAGAAAGGACTAAACCAATGGAATAAGGACATAAGGAAATTTATCTGGCAGAATAAGAAAAATAGAATAAGCTTTAAAAATATAACAGATGAGAAAAACAGAGGGGGACTGGCAATGCCCAATTTAGAAATATATGCAGAAGCAAGTGCGCTAACATGGACACTCGATTGGATTAAACTAGAAAATGAAAAACAACTAAATTTAGAAGGCCACGACCTTAGGAAGGGGTGGCATGCTTACATTTGGTATGGGAAAAGAAAAATAGAAAAGGGTTTTGGAAATCATTTCACCAGGTCGGCGATAATTAAAACGTGGGAGAAATATAAAGAAAGAATTTACAATAAAACCCCGTTATGGGTATCACCGTTAGAAGCTTGTCAAAGGAGAGAGCTGGGATGGATAAATTGGCCCTGCTATAGAGTCATAACAGAAAAAAAAGATCAGGAGATACACTTAAAACCCCAAGAAGAAGTAAAGAAATTATACCCAAACATAACGTGGCTGCAATACAGACAATTAAAAGAGTCTTTTACGATGGACAAAAAAATTGGCTTTATGAAAGAGGATAATATCTGGGACAAAATTATAAGATCTAGGAAAAAAACAATATCATTAATATACAAAGTATTATTGGAATGGAACACGGAAGAAGAAAGAATAAAAGAGTGTATGGTGAAATGGGCCAGTAATATAGGGAGACCAATAAATTTGGCAGAATGGGAAACCATATGGAAAAAAAAACTAAAATATACGAAAGCGTATGATCTAAAAGAAAATTGGCTCAAACTATTCTATAGGTGGCATTTAACACCCCAGAAGCTGGGAAAATTTTATAAGAACTTAAACACCAAATGCTGGAAATGTGGTGAGACAACGGGCACATACTACCACATGTGGTGGAACTGCAAAAAAGCCAAAAGATTTTGGAAAGAAATCCAGGAAAAATTGCAATATATATTGAAGATCAAAATCCCACTCTTACCAGAAATATTCCTACTGGGAATAACAAAAGAGGAAACAGACAAGAATGTAGATAAAGTATTATTCCTGGCGACAACCGCGGCGAGAATATGCTACGCCAGATACTGGAGAAAGGAAGAGATACCGGAGATGGACGAATGGGAAACGAAGCTTATGGAGGTAAAGAACATGGACAGACTAAGTTATCTAATCCAGAAAAGCAAAGGAATAACAGAAAAAGAAACAGATTGGACAAGAATTGATGAATACTTCAAAGAGAAATGACCCAGAGATTAAAGATGGGAGAAAAGGTATTCCCAAGACCCAAACGAGGAACTGAACAGAAGAAAAGAAGAAAACAATAAAATAAGAAGGAAAGAAAAGGAAAATCTTCGCAAAGGACACCCGGAAGACAGGCCGAAGGAAGGGGGAAACCTCGATTTTTGTCTCTACTACTTTTAATGCACTCTCTACACTTTCCTTTTCTGACTTTCTATACCCTCACTTCTACCCACCCCGTACTTCCCTAAGTCTATCACCCAACCACTTTCTTTCCCTATCCGCTCTCCTCTTTTATTCCCCCCTTACTCTTTCTGACTCTCTAGACTGTTCTACTCTTTTCTTTTTTTTAAATTACTGCTCTCTTTTAATCATATGTATATGGAAAATGTGAATAAAGATTATTATAAAAAAAAATAATAATGTTATGTTTGGGGGTCACCATTAAGGGGTCGTGGCATTTGGAAGGTTGAGTAACACTGCATTAGAGTGTACATAGGTAGAAGGAGCATTGTCATGAGCCAGCTATGGCAGATTCCTTTGACTTCAGATCAGTTGACTGACTGCTGAACAAATTCAGATAGGAGAGAAAACTCCGAAGACATGGTTTTGGAATAACTTATTCGGTTGTAAAAAATCACATGCCTACTAAAAGCATGTGAATTTATAGACTTGACTAGCTGTCCCCTGCCACACGTTGCTGTGGCCCAGTCTGTTGATCTGGAAAATAAAATAATGAGAAAGTATTGGTTTCTAATATATGTAATTTATTTCTGTTTGTTGATAAACAGTATTTTTTGCTGTTTCTTTGTCAGTGTTGATGTGGAGATTGTCTGGTTTGTCTACTCTGGAACATGCAACATATCATTGTCCTTCTTTAGGGGTCCCTTTCAAATCTATGATACTATATCTCTCTCTGTGTGTGAATCATATATATGTATCTATATCTATGGCTGGATGGCTCTTTGTCAGGAGGGCTTTGATTATTTTTTTTTTGATCAGAGTTGGACTGGATGGCCTTAAGTATTTTCTGTTGGTCATGGGGGGTTCTGTGTGGGAAGTTTTCCCCATTTCTGTTGTTTGTGGGTTTCAGAATGCTCTTTGTTTCGGGGGGGGGGGGGGGGGGTGAATTTTTTTCAGGGGGTTTGGGGGGGGCTGAGTTTCGGGGGGGCTGAGTCTGAGTGAAAGAGGGTCTACCCTAGCAAACCTTTTGTATCATTACCCCAATACCATGCATATGGGATATATTGAGTATGGTGATCAGATCATGATATGAATAAACATAACAGTTTAAATAATGCACCAGTAAGGCCTTTTCGCGAACCACCATGAGAATTTCGGGCGGGGGGGGGGGCTGAAGCCCCCCCCCCTGGCCCCAATTCTGTCATTGGTGAAGTTCAGAATGCTCTTTGATTGTAGGTGAACTATAAATCCCGGCAACTACAACTTCCAAATGTCAAGGTCTGTTTCCTCCAAACTCCACCAGTGTTCATATTTGGGCATACGGAATATTCGTGCCCAGTTTGGTCCAGATCCATCATTGTTTGAGTCCACAGTGCTCTCTGGATGTAGGTGAACTACAACTCCCAAACTTAAAAAAAAACAAAAAAAACCATTGAACAAAATGTCAATGGCCACCAAATCCTTCTGGTGCTTTGTGCTGGTCATGGGAGTCCTGTGTGCCACGTTTAGTTCAATTCCATCACTGGTGGAGTGCAGAATGCTCTTTGATTGTAAGTAAACTATAAGTTCCAGCAACTCCCAAATGACAAAATCATATATTTTTGAGTGATGGTCACTCCTTGTGTTGTGAGACGTTTTGTTGCCAAATTTGGTGTGATTTCGTTCATTGGTTCTTTTGTTTTTATGGAACTCATTATGCAGAGAGCATTTATATATATATAGATTGCATACTTAGACTTGGCAACATTACATGCAAAGGGCTTAAGAAAGTAGTATGAAATAAAAGTCCTAATGATTTTAATAGATCGACTCCAAGTATGAAAGAAATCTGGTACCAACGGAATCTAGAACCAATGGATTGCGCTTGCTTGTAAACTTTTAAACTCCTATTTGACTTGTACATGTTCAATTTGATGTCTAATATCAATATCATCACAGATCCTTCTGACCTCAATTCCTTAAGATGTTGCCAATCATTATGAAGACTTTGCCAGGATACTTCCTCATCTTTGCATTTCTAATGAGTCAAGGTAACTGATTTGTATCTTTTCTCAATTTGAAAAAAAAATAGTAATCTTTCTTCCTGCCCCAGTCACCCACAAAGATTTCAACACTATTCTTAATTTGATGTTCCAACTAGGAATTGTAATTCATGCAAATGTACTGGAAGTAATATTTTGGCATTGGAATCAGGACATTTTCTCTAAAACTGACTGGGCAGAAATATTGCTTTTTTCGATTTTTTTCACCCCCCCAGGAAGTACGTTTTTCATGGAAAAATAGGTGTATGTGCATTAACAGAAAATATTTTACTCACTTTTAAGATTGCCAATTATAGCTTGTGGTTTAAACAGTCAATAGATATGGCCACACCTAATCCTGTTGAGGAAGATCTCTGTTGTTGTATACAACAAAAACGAAGCAGAATAAAACAGTTGCTCATATTGTGCAGGCGGATATGGATTTGTTTCCTTCCCTTCTTTTCAGGTGAACCTCTGAAATGTGAAACATGTAACCAGGATGGCTATACGTGTAGAGGACCGCATTGGCCCTGTGACGATCACTTCAAAACCTGTGTTGTAGTATTAGTTGAACACACACATTGTGAGTCTTCTGTTCAGATAAATGCATTTCCTGATATTTCAATAAAATATTTAGGACCCCATAAGAGAGTAAAGAAAGGGGAATTCGTTAAGATCATAATACTGGAAGTCCTGGTAACAGAACCAGCTGGTGCAGTTGACTACACGATTAGTAAAACATAACTGCTTGTGAATGTTCTTTTGTCCAATGTTGCAAAGCAAGTATTCTCCATCTCCATATGCCCCATCCCTCCTCCACTCCACACCTGAAACTTGCTGTCATGGTTGTACAGGGACCAAATGTAGAGGAAGGGGGGTATTATGGAGTCACACGGCTCTAACTGTAGTTTTCTGATATGACCTACTACACATGGTGGTGGTCTTTTTGGATTGAAGAAAAATGCATTATTTGCTGCTTGGGAGAAGGGGAAGTTGGCCAGACATATAAGAGATACGTGGAATGTGATGTTTGTTGAAATTGGCTGACTCAAGGAAGGCATGGATCAGTGAGAATTTATATTTCTCTACTTTGAGTAAGTGAACTGTTTATTTGCAGATGGAAAACCTCAACTGAGAACAGTAAAAACCTGCGAGCACACACGTTTGTGCAACAGGAGTATGAGTTATCTGAATATGGGTCAAGGGAGATATGAACGGTCAAGTATCGTCTGTTGTATAGGGGAGGCCTGCAAGACTGCTGTTCCCCGATGTAAGTATTCTGGAGGTTGACTTTTCTTTAGGTCTGGAATAGCACCCTTCCAAAAATGGTTGGGCAACAGTTTGCAGGGGCACTGAAATCAGCAGCTGAGCGAAGAAAAGAAGGCTGTCTAGTTCCAATCATTGCTTTAGGTGGAGTCCCATGAGGACCTCTTTCAAAGCAATAGGAACTCTCTTTTTCTGATGACAAGCAACACTGAGGTTGAACTGCCATTCTTTGGGTAAATCCAAGAGGACCGTTTGATTGCTTTCCTTCAGAGATCGTCTGCAATATTCAGAGGAGCACATGGTAGGGAAGATTTTGCTCTCAAGTGCAATGCACTCTTATGAATCACAAGGCCAAGTGACTGATGTAACCTGGCCTTGAAAAGCTCACTAAATCCATTGGTGTTGGAAAATACGTGCTTCTAATGGAGCTCCCCAAACTAGTTTGTTGATAGAGGCCTCTTCTCCATATTTCTGTTAATCTGGGGCCATTGTGGAGCAACCTCTGTCCCCTGATACACACACATAGACATACCTTTTGTAGTGTCAGCAGAGAACAAAAGGATAGCTATACCTCTTCTCCATACAAGCTTTTCATCCAAGTGCCTCCTGCTGCATGTCCATCAACATGAAAAGAGCTGGAGGTGTATCCATCCCCCACCAGTTTTGACTGTAGCTGTTGGCCTTTTCATGAGTGCATTATATGTCCTCTGAAATTTTGCAATGACCTGAGCTTTCTGAAATTATGTGTGGATGCAGACTCTAGTGGTCCTGCATATACTTTGTACTCCATCCTGTACACATATCCATTCGGAAATATACCCTTCTATATGGGTATCCAGTTAGGATTTTTATCTCATTTTGGAAAATGGGGTTGATGTTTGATTGCTCACATAGCCTGGCTTGATGGGATAAATCAGAGATACCATTTTTACATGCACATATGATGAACCCCTTTTATTGTCTTTCAGTCCAACCAGAGCTCATCAAACCCAATGGGAAGTCCTGCCCGGCCTGCTTTGCCCCCAACACTACTGGGTGTGGATCCGCCAGAGTAGATTGTTCTGGAAACGAGGACTTCTGCTTGAATACAATGCAAAGAATTTCAGTAGGTAATACCAAATTTTAAGTTTTCCAAGGACTATGAGCTGGTATCACATAATGGACCTATGTAAAGCAAGGTATTTGTGAGGTAAATGATGAAGAGTTTCAGACTTAGTAAAGAGCCCCTGGTGGTGCAGTAGGTTAAACCGCTGAGCTGCTAAATTTGTTGACCGAGAGGTCGCAGATTTGAATCCTGGGAGCGGCGTGAGCTTCAGGTGTCAGCCCCAGCTTCTGCCAGCCTAGTAGGTCAAAAACATGCAAATGTGAGTAGATCAATAGATACTGCTCCAGCGGGAAGGTAACGGCACTCCATGCAGTCATGCTGGCCACATGAACTTGGAGGTGTCTATGGACAACACCAGCTCTTCAGGTTAGAAATGGAGATGAGCACCAACCCCAGAGTCAGACATTACTGGACTTAATGTCAGTGGAAAACCTTTACCTTTGCCTGCCTCAGTTAACAAAGCCTCTGATAAAGAAGCTCCTTTTTACATTGCTTTTTTGAGCCCCACATTCTTCCTTGACCTCTATGAATGTGGCATTTGGGGGGTAGAGAAGAAAAGCTGTCTCCGGAATCCCTTACTGAGAAGCAAAACAGGAGGAAACATGAAGAGCAATATACCTGCCTCACCAGCATGTTTTAAAGCTTAGATCTTTGTTTCTAGTTCACCAAAGTGGAAGTCCCCAAAAAAGTCAGAGTGGGTGAAAAAAAAAAGATACCTCTGTGTAGTCATGTGCATTTGGGACTTACCTTGATTCGTTTCGTGTCCTGGCTTTCAGGAAGGTCCCCAATCCATTTTTGTCTGAGCCTCCCAAATTTGGAAGGTCAGATAATTGTTTTTTTGTTTTCGTTTCCATTATTTGGGGGGGGGGGGCTTCACGCGTATGCCCAAAGCGACCGGACCTACGGGTGCAGGTTTCCAGCCTATGTGGCCGGGCCTAGCAGGACCTGCAGCTTAGGGACTAAAAATGAGCACTCCTGACTAGGCACTCAACTGCATGCCCTGCCAGGCTCAAGTGTGTAGGCCTGATGCCTGCACCCATAGGCCCCAAATGCCTGGGCCTACAGGTGCAGGCTTTGGGCCTATGCACCCATGTCTCGCAGGGCCTGCAGCCAACCAGTGAGTAACGAGAACTCCTTACTTGGTGCTCAGCTGCAGGCCCTGCTATTCCCCACACAATCTATCCGAAAAGAAGGCCTGCCTTCCTTTCATATAGATTGCATTTTTGTTTCAGGAGGGCCCTTTCCATTTCATAGGATCTTAGAGTTGGAAGAGACCTCATGGGCCATCCAGTCCAACCCCCTGCCAAGAAGCAGGAAAATTGCATTCAAAGCACCCCTGACAGATGGCCATCCAGCCTCTGTTTAAAAGCCTCCAAAGAAGGAGCCTCCACCACTCTCCGGGCAGAGAGTTCCACTGTTGAACAGCTCTCAAAGTCAGGAAGCTCCTCCTAATGTTCAAATGGGATCTCCTTTCTTGTAGTTTGAAGCCATTGTTCCACATCCTAGTTTCCAGGGCATCAGAAAACAAGCTTGCTCCTTCCTCCCTATGACTTCCTCTCACATATTTATACAAGGCTATCATGTCACCCCTCAGCCTTCTCTCCTTCAGACTAAACATGCCCAGTTCTTTAAACCACTCCCCATAGGGCTTGTTCTCCAGACCCTTGATTATTTTAGTCACCCTCCTCTGGACACATTCCAGCTTGTCAATATCTCTTCAATTGTGGTGCCCAGAATTGGACACAGTATTCCAGGTGTGGTCTAACCAAGGCAGAATAGAGAGTATCATGACTTCCCTGGATCTAGACACTAGACTCCTATTGATGCAGGCCAAAATCCCATTGGCTTTTCTTGGCTTTTCTTTTGCCCCTGGTGGCGCAGTGGGTTAAAGCTGCTGAGCTTGTTGATCGAAAGGTCGCAGGTTCGATTCCGGGGAGCGGCGTGAGCTTCCGCTGTCAGCCCTAGCTTCTGCCAACCTAGCAGTTCGAAAACATGCAAATGTGAGTAGATCAATAGGTACCGCTCCGGGGGAAGGTAACGGCGCTCCATGCAGTCATGCCGGCCACATGACTTTGGAGGTGTCTACGGACAACGCTGGCTCTTTGGCTTAGAAATGGAGATGAGCACCACACCCCAGAGTCAGACATGACTGGACTTAATGTCAGGGGACTACCTTTACCTTTACCTTTCTTTTGCCATCGCATCACATTGTTGGTTTATGTTTAACTTGTTTTCCACGAGGACCCCAAGATCTTTTTCACACGTCCTGCTCTCGAGCCACGCGTCCTCCATTCTGTATCTTTGCATTTTATTTTTTTCTGTCTAAGTGGAGTATCTTGCATTTGTCACTGTTGAACTTCATTTTGTTAGTTCCATCTAAATGGATGGAACAAAACAGAAACACTAATGAAATAAGACAAATTTTGGGCCCATGACTACCTCTGCATGCATTTTGGATCTGTGCAAAAGTAAAAAAAAAAATTATTTACTTACACAAGGCTTCCTAGATTTGGTTATTTCGTTTCATAGATAAATCTTTTAAGCTTTCATCAAAGGACATTTTGAATTGCCTTTCGTTTTATTGTGTAGTGACCTATTCCTTATCATTCTGTGTTATTTCTCCCTCTGGTGCCACATTTTCTCTTAAATAACTGGTGCTCAGTACAACAAAGATTTGGTAACTCAGGCAGTATGTACAATTGATTGTGTGTGAATGTATGTGAATGGGCCTGTCTGATGGCTATGGCCCAATTCACCAGTTGGCAACACATGATTGGAAGGTCAGTGGTTTTCTTCGCCCCACCCATTTTGCAACCCTACTGCCCCTGGTGGCTACTACTATTCCACAGCTTTAAGGCATAGTAAAGGTAAAGGTTGTCCCCTGACATTAAGTCCAGCCGTGCCAGAGTCTGTGCGTATATTTATTTATCGTGTCAGGGGCAACCAGACAATTGTATTACATTTCTAACAGAACAAAACAAACAAACAAAAAACAAAAAATTTGCAAGCTTGGTAGTTGATTAAATGTCCTTTGACCAGTATCTGGCCACTTGGAGTGCCTCTGGTGTTGCCGCAAGAAGGTCCTCCATTGTGCATGTGGCAGGGCTCAGGTTGCATTGCAGCAGGTGGTCAGTGGTTTGCCTTCTCCACACTCGCATGTCATGGATTCCACTTTGTAGCCCCATTTCTTAAGATTGGCTCTGCATCTCATGGTGCCAGAGCGCAGTCTGTTCAGCGCCTTCCAAGTCGCCCAGTCTTCTGTGTGCCCAGGAGGGGAGTCTCTCATTTGGTATCAGCCATTAATTGAAGTTCTGGGTTTGAGCCTGCCACTTTTGGACTCTTGCTTGCTGAGGTGTTCCAGTGAGTGTCTCTGTAGATCTTAGAAAACTATTTCTTGATTTAAGTCGTCAACGTGCTGGCTGATACCCAAACAGGGGATGAGCTGGAGATGTCACTGCCTTGGTCCTTTCACTATTGGCTGCTACTTCCCAGCGGATGTCAGGTGGTGCAATACTGGCTAAACAGTGTAATTTCTCCAGGGGTGTAGGGCGCAGACACCCCGTGATAATGTGGCATGTCTCATTAAGAGCCACATCTACTGTTTTAGCATGGTGAGATGTGTTCCACACTGGGCATGCATACTCAGCAGCAGAGTAGCATAGCACAAGGGCAGATGTCTTCACTGTGTCTGGTTGTGATCCCCAGGTTGTGCCAGTCAGCTTTTGTATAATATTGTTTCTAGCACCCACTTTTTGCTTGATATGCAGGCAGTGCTTCTTGTAGGTCAAAGCATGGTCCAGAAGTCTGTGGGTTAGTACTCATCTCCGTTTCTAAGCCAAACAGCCAGCGTTGTCTGTAGATACCTCCAAGATCACATGGTCGGCATAACTGCAAGGAGCGCTGTTACCTCCGGAGTCGTAGCTATTGATCTACTCACATTTGCATGTGTTCGAACTGCCAGGTTGGCAGAAGCTGGGACTGACAGCGGAAGCTCACACCACTCCCCAAATTCGAATCTGCTACCTTTCAGTCAACAAGCTCAGCAGCTCAGCGGTTTAACCCACTGTGGCTTTAAGACATAAAGGTGGCAAAATGAGAGGGCGTCCTTCTGTTAAAGCAGAATTGGACACTTTCTCGGTGGTATCATTCTGCACTAAAGCAAGAAGTGCATTTCCTAGAAACACTGTTTTAGAAAGATATCTCAGGAATGAATCAAATTTTGACAGTAGGGCAAAAAGTTCGTCCCTCAGTGGATTATAGTGGAAAGGTTAATTCATCTCCCACTCCTAATGTTGGTGGACCTTATTCAAAATCTTCATTTGCTTTCCATCATAGTTCATAGAGGTTCTCTTCAGTTTCTGTACAATGTGAGGTGGGGACCAATACTGTTGCTTTTCAGAGAGATATAATTTTGGAAATCTCTACTGAAGTGAGTGAAGAATGATCCTGAATCCAGTGTTCCATCTTTCTTTTCTGACTACTTGTCTTGGCTTTCTTTTCTAGGTGCTAGCTCCACGACCTACTTCAAAAAAGGCTGTGCTACTAATAAGATTTGTTACTTGCGGGCTGGATCATATATTAAATATAGGACTTATTCAAATCCTATCCCTCAGTGTACCAACGCTTTCTATACTAGCTGAGACTGCTGGGAGTTGCAGTCCAGAAATATCTGGTAGGACACATAATTTCCACCACTGCTTTAGGATAATAAAAAATATTGAAAAATTGTTCTTGTCTATCTATCATCTATCTATCTATCTATCTATCTATCTATCTATCTATCTATCTATCTATCTATCATCTATCTATCTATCTATCTATCTTGTTTTGCAGTAACTAGGAATGGGATTTCTCAAGTCATTCCAAGTGCAGAGCTTATTGCCTTGCAAACTGTCTGACCTTTCAATATTTATCTGATTTTTAATTGCATTATATTAAGCATTTCTTTTGACTGGAAATCAGTTTTTACCCTGTGAAATCTTACGCCTAACATGAGCTGGATCTACACTGCCATATAACCC